GAGAAAAGATGCTCAACATTACTAATCATAAGAAAATGCAAATCAAAATGACAATGAGGTATCACTTAATACCTGTTAGGATGCCTATATTCAAAACACAGAAGATAATAAGTGTTGGTGAGGATATAGAAAAATTGGAACCTTTGTGCACAGTTCATGGAAATGTAAAATGGTGTGGTCACTGTGAAAAACAGTATGGAGGTTCCCCCAAAACACTAAAAATAGAACTACCATATGGTCCAGCAATCCTACTTCTGAGTATATACCTAAAAGAACTGAAATCAGGGTCTTGAAAAGATATTTGCACTCCTGTGTTCACTGCAGCGCTATTCACAATAACCAAAATGTGAAAAACAACCTAAATGTTCACTGAAGGATGAATGGATAAAGAAAATGTGATATATACACACAATGAAGTATTATTCATTCTTTAAAAAAAAGAAGGAAACCCTGCCATATGCTACAACATGGAAGAACCTTGAGGACATTATGCTAGGTGAAATAAGCCAGTCACTTAAGGACAAAGATTGCATGATACCAATTATATGAGATATATAAACTAGTCAAACATATAGAAGCAGAGAGTAGAATGGTGGTTGCCAGGGGCTATGGGGAAGGGGAAACAGGGAGTTGCTGTTCAATGGGTATAAAGTTTCAGTTATCTGTGATGGTTAAGTTCTAGAGTTCTGTTGTACAACAATGTGCCTAGAGCTAACAATACTATATTACACATTAAAATTTGTTAAGAAGGTAGATCTCATGTTAAGTGTTCTTACGCTAATTTTAAAAAGAGAGAAAGAAAGAAAGAGAGAGAGAGGGTTGGGGGGAGGAAGGAAGGAAGGAAGGAAGGAAGGAAGGGAAGAAGGAAGGAAAGAAGGAAGGGAGGAAGGAAGACAGAGGGGAAAAGGAAAAAAATAAAACAAAACAAAGAAAAAGATGAAAGAAATTCCATGGGAGATAAGTTTCAACTGGGTGCTCTGGAATCATGAGCATTATAGTGTCTCTGGGACTGTACAATCCTTTTTGACCAAAGGAACCTGAGACAGTGGACATGCATTGTGAGGCATCTCATCATTAGCACCTTTGGCCTCCAGATCTCAAATTATGAATGACTTTACTATACTGAAAAGAACAGTATGTGAATTTTCTTAGGAAATGAAAGAAAACTAATATCAAAAAGAAAATAAAAGAAATAAATACAAGGAGGTATTAACAAATCCACCATCACAGAGAGAAATTCTGCTTACCTCCCTCAGTAACTGAAAGATGAAGCAGACAAAAAAAAAGAGTGAGGAAACAATGCATATACTTAAATAAATAAATAAATGAATAAACTGAAAGTGTTATGAGGAATGAGATATTTGCAGTTTCAAAGTACTTCTCCACTAAATACTTACTAATCACAATGAGGAAAAAGTTAAGTATACTTAGAAAAACCTAGAAGACATCACTTAAACCAAGTGATCAGAGTGTACATAACCTATCATGGTACATATCAAAATTGTGCACTGCCTGTTAGAATTCAATGAGAAGAACACAGCATCATTGCTGTGATACTCCTACCAAAGACACAAAACCTGGTTCTAATCATGAAGAAACAGCAGACCAACTCAAAATTGAGGAACATTCTATAATATAACTGGCCTGAAATTTTCAAAAATGTAAAGATCATTAAAAAACCAAGGGAAGACTGAGGTATTGTTCCACACTGAAGGAGACTAAAAAGACAAGACAATTAAATGCAATGACAAAGATAACATGTGATTCTGAACTGCATCTCTTTGCTATAAAGACTGCTATAGTGAAAACTGCTAAAATTTAAATGGAGTCAGAAGATTAGATGGTAGTAACAATACCAATGTACATTTCCTGATTTTGATGATTTTAGTGTGGTTATGTAAGAGAACATCCCTCATTTGTTTGAAATATTCATTACAGTATTCAGGGGTTATGGAGCATCATGTTGCCAACTCATTCTCATGTTCACCAAAAAAGTTCTTTTGTACCTTCTTGCAACCCTACTATGAGATTGTTTTCAAAAATGCATCATAAAGACAAGATGTACTAAGCACTCATGGAACTGAAGATTGCAATGTTAAATATATGCTTCTATAGAAGAGAAAAATATGGAATATTCCTAACTTATTTTATGAATCTTGGAATCAAACAAAGATAATATAAGAATTAAAAATTAAATCTCACTTATTAACATAGAAATGAAGCTTCTAAACAAAATATCAGCAAACTGAATCTTGTAATACACAAGAAAAATAATCATTCCAGGAATCCAAGGACAGCTTAACATTAGAAAATACATTAATAATTTAAGTGCAAAAAAAATGACTAATTCAACAGATGCAGACAAAGTATTTAATAAACTCAAACAATATTTATGGGAAAATTCTTAGAAAAAAAGAAATAAATTTCCTTAACTTGATAAAAAGAGTATTTATTAAAACCAAACAGCAAGTATCATACTAATTGTAAAACCATTAGAAGCATTCCCTTAAAATCAAGAACACAGTAATGACCGGCTTTCACTGCCTCTATTCCAACACGTACTAGAGGTTCTATCAGTGCCATTAAGACAAGTAAAACAAATAAGAAGAGATCAGAGGACTTCCCTGGTGGTGCAATGGTTAAGAATCCACCTGCCATTGCAGGAGACATGGGTTTGATCCCTGGTCCGGGAAGATCCCAGACCCAGAGCAACTAAGCCTGTGTGCCACAACTACTGACCCTGCACTCTAGAGCCCGAGAGCCACAACTACCACAGCCTGTGCGCCCTAGAGCCCGCACGACGCAACTACTGAGCCCACCGTGCTGCAACTACTGAAGCCTGCGTGCCTATAGCCCGTGCTCCACAAGAGAGGCCACCACAATGAGAAGCCCGCACACCGCAACAAAGAGTAGCCCCCACTTGCCGCAACTAGAGAAAGCCCACGCGCAACAACATAGACCCAACACAGCCAAAAATAAATAAAATTTAAAAAAAAAGAGAGATCAGAAAGGAAGAAAAAAGTTGCTATTATTCACAAATGACATTATTATCTACATGGACAATCTAAGAATCTGTAATTAAATTATTAGAATTAAGAGAGGTATATAAGATTGGATATAATATCAATATACAAATTACTTTTCTACGCAGCAGCAGAAAACAAAAAGCAATTTTTTAAAAGTTGTTACTAAAAAAAACCAAAAAGGGCTTCCCTGGTGGCACAGTGGTTGAGAGTCCGCCTGCCAATACAGGGGACACGGGTTCGTGCCCTGGTCCGGGAAGATGCCACATGCTGCGGAGCGGCTAGGCCCGTGAGCCATGGCCGCTGAGCCTGCACATCCGGAGCCTGTGCTCTGCAACGGGAGAGGCCACAACAGTGAGAGGCCCACGTACCGCAAAAGAAAACAAAAAACAAAAAAAAATTAACAATAACAACTGTAAGAAGGAAAAGAGCAAGATAAAATTATTAGGGTATTGAGTTGCTAAGACTTACTAGACGGAAAGCTGTAAAAAATGATGCTGTGACACTGGTGCAGAAAGAGCCAAACAGACCAATGGAACAAATGAAAAAAAGCTAAAAACAAGCCAGCACATATGTGGATATCTGATATAAAAAAGATGGGGGGGGGTGCTTCCCTGGTGGCGCAGTGGTTGAGAGTCTGCCTGCCAATGCAAGGGACGCGGGTTGGTGCCCCGGTCCGGGAAGATCCCACATGCCGCGGAGAGGCTGGGCCCGTGAGCCATGGCCGCTGAGCCTGCGTGTCCGGAGCCTGTGCTCCGCAACGGGAGAGGCCACAACAGTGAGAGGCCCACGTACCGCAAAAAAAAAAAAAAAAAAAAAAAAAGAGATGGGATTGCTGATTAGTGGGAAAACAATGAAGAATATAATAAATAGTGTCGAGAATTACCTATCCATACGCAAAAAAGTAAAATTAGAGCCATACTTTAACCACACATAAAAATTAATTAAAGGCAGTTTAGCAATCTAACTGTTAAAAAGCAAAATTTCAACTTTTAAAAGAAAATACATCATTTTACCTCAAAGTGGGGAAGACACAAAAAGCATCTATCATAAAGGAAAGATGATAAATTCAACTACATTAAAATGTAAAATTTTGTTCATAAGGTCATCAGAAAAAGTGAAAAGATATTCCATTGCCTGGGTAAAAATATTTTACCCAGCAAATAACCAGCAATGCATATGTATCCAGAATATATAAAGAACTTCTACAGTCAATGAGGAAAAGACTAAAAGCCCAAAGTAAAGGCAAAAGATATGAACAGGCACTTCTTAGGAAAGAAAATCCAAGCAGCCAGGACACACCAAAAGATGTTTCACCTCAATTATAACCAAGAAAATGAAATAACAAGCCCCATCATTTTTATACCTATATATTCTTAGTATTTTAATGATTTATAAAGATATGGTACATTAAAGTAAGATAAGAATCATCATAGAACGCGTCCTCTTATTTTCACTAGTATATTTATGATCTTGTCTAGGTTTTATAAAAAGTTATCTGCAAAATCAGCACTATGTTTTCAAACACTATTCAAAATAAAGACAACATACAGAATTTATTTTTTCCCCATAGAGAATTTTGCCCTAAGATGTGGAAACAGATCTAGAGATTGAGAAGTTAATATAGCCCAACATTCTAACTGTACTACTGGATATACATTTTTTGAGCCTTGAATATTATACTAATTATACTATTTTCAGTGATGCCAGATGACATAATCATTAAAGTATTTTTAAGGTAACAGTTGCAAAACTTCTAAAATTATATCACTTAGTTCTTTTCTATGGTCCCTTGTTTGTGTCCTATTTCCAATACAGCTTCCAGTGCAACTGTATTAAAAAAAAAAAAATCGTACAAGTGCTGAGCTAAAGTACTATTTAATTTTGTTTCATTTAGTTTATTTACTATTTTAACTGCTGTACTCATAAGACTTGAAGAGTTGAAATCAGCTTAAAAGTTAAGCAAAATAACAGTACCTCACAATGCTGGCGAGAAGCTTGAATTTCACATTCATATTTGTTCTTTACAGATTCTAAGCAGAGCTCTCTATAGATTCCTGCAACCAAACACAATTACTCTGATTATGTTAGCAATAAGGAGTTTCAATATCACTTCCCTACAGGAATTCTGTCCTAACTATTTTATAAGATGAATCAAGAAGAAATTGGCAAGTGAGTCTAACTTTACCTTTAAAAACTAAAAATAAAAGGCTCAGTTAAAATATATATCAAAGAAGACTAGAAAACTAATAAGAGTTTAAGTGCTAGAAAAAAACTACACTGCAATTTTTAGTTGTTACCCATTTTTCTAAAGAATACTCCTAAATGTTTGATAGAGAATGGTTAAAATGAAAATAAAACTCTTCACCTATGAAAAACAATCTCTTGGGATTCATAAGGGAAACAGAGTCAATAAGCTCTGGTTTCTTAATCATATATACTCAAAGTAACAACTGGATACCATAACCATCAAAACCACTAGTTTTTAACTATTATTTATCTTCAGAGTCCAAAGCTTCCAAGAGGATTAAATGTAGAAACTAATTTAACAAAATTTATAAACTGATACGAGGTTTGAGTGCTCCTAACAGGGCTTTACCTAGAGAATGGATGCTCAAGTGAGTTTAACTTAGAGGTACCAAGACAACAGCATAAAATAGGCACCATGGTCATGCAAACATGCCATCACAAAAATGGCAAACAAAGAGGTCTAGATGTATATGCTTAACTCCATGCCATAGTTGCCCCTAGAAATGTAATTCTGTTTCTTGTATAGAAAAGGCAAGGGACAGATATCTGGAACTATGCCATCAGCAACACATTCGCACACACTACTTTTTGTACAGTCAAAAAGTAAAGGAGGCTGCCTAACAGAAAAGTGAATAATTGACTGAAGTAATATTTCCTAAACATCCACTAAGTCTCACCTAGTGCTTTTAGAATGTCCAGGAAAATTAAGGACATGTTTACTTTTAAGGGTGTGCTAAGCCAATATGCAAAGACAGCAGATTAAGCATCACATCATCTACATACTCAATACTAAGCACTCAAGAATAAAATTTGGTTTAAGGTGGATTTAGTACAAAGAGAACCTATTATCAACAATGCCTTAGGTATTATATAACAGGTACATGAGGATCAATTAGTGTCCCTCAAAAAGAAAACAATCGGCATCTCCATTAATTAAATTTCAGTTTTTTGTTTGACTATGAAAAATCATTAAGTGACCTTCAAACAGATATATCCCTTGTTATGCATGGTAGGACACAATTCTGAGGCCAGATCCCAGTTACAAACAGAAGACTGAAATTTAACCACACAAATACAGTACATCTTCATTTATTCACAGCCACAAATGAGTCATCAAACTTATCAAAATAAAAACTCATGTCTAAACTGTAGGTTTGAAGGCAAATTCTCTGTTCTTTACTAACCTGATCAAACATTTTAAAAATGTTTTTACAAATAAAAAATCCTTATCACTCTTACAGATGAAAAATACTGAGGACTTAAATTGAACCTTAATAGGAAATTAAACTGCGATAGTAACAGTATCTCTTAATGAAAGTATCATGGTTTCTAATTGTTTCACATGTGGAAGTACCCTCTCAACAACACTGTGAGCAATTGGAGGGCTTTTTTTCTTTTTTCAAGCCCCTACAGTAGCAGAGAAAAGCATGAGGCATTTAATAAATAACTGTGGGCTGACTGACAGTGAAATACTCTGGTCAACGTAAATACAGTTGTACTTCCATTAACAACAACCGCTCACTTGATAAACACCTTTTAAGTCTATTGAAGAGTTCATATTCTACTATATGGAAAAGATGTTTCACTTTCCTACCTGCTACCTTTGTACGAATTTGCATATTTTCTTGTAAAGTTGCCAGTGGTTCCAAATATTCTGGTGCTTTTCCAGCTATGACTTCTTGTAGTTTTGCATCCACCTGACTTAATCGTTCTTTATAAAGTCTTAACAAAGCAAAAATTAAGATATTAATTTTAAAAGCCCAACAAAGGCTAACAATTTACCATTTCTATACATTCTCTTCTTAATATCATTCATATTCTAATAACCTACCAAATGTATTTTTGCCTTGCTCTCAAGTGAAGAGAAGAATGCAGTTACATTATTTGACTTTATGCACATAATCACAAAGAAATGTCTTTCTATTTTTTAGATATATCACTCTTTAATAGTTAACTTACAATACAAAAAACACAACTGAAATAACCACTTTTGGTCACTCTAGATGTTTTTGTTTTAACTGCAGAATAAATCAATTCTAAGAGAAAAGGTCAAATAAACACTGAATTAAAAAAAAAATCATTTTGAATAATTTAGATACAGGCATTACTAGCTGTCAAAAATAAATAATTCCCTGTCTCCTCTCCAAGTTTCCTGAAAAGCAGTCAGTATTACAATATTCAGACTACTTGATTTTTAAAAGAACAAAGAGGAAGTAGAGGGATGAAGGTAAAACCAATGGCTAGAGAACTTGTGATCTGGCATATACTCAGCTCTTCTAGACTGCAAATGAAGAAGCTATAACAATATGAGTTGCTCAATAGATGGGGAAGTGAAAAGTGGGGCAAGGAATCCCTGTTGCTCTATTTATGAGTCCACATACAAATACTCCTAATTTACCAGCTGTCATCCCAATATCTTTAGCTTGATTATCAAAGACAGTATGTGAGACAACTCAATGTTTATTTTTAGCAATAATCCTGCAGGACAGAACTAACTCTTTTTTAACAGGAAAATGTTTAAATTGCCATTCTTTATGAAAGGCACTTCTAACCCTGGTTTTGTGGCATTTCAAGGGCATCCTAAAATTTCAAAGCAGACAAACAATTTAAGATCATTTTGCAAAATTTTTTTGCCATTTATTACTTCATCATAGGTGAAGAATATGTCATATACATCACAAGGATGGCATCTAGTAACTTCCAAAAGAAACCACTGCTTATAATTGTAGGTGTTCGTATAAATAGCAGTTGGCTACTGAAAACATGATGATACCTGGCTTTCATATAAAATTCCACTCTTTCCTCTTGAAAATATAAACCAATACAATTAAGCAATTAAGGCTAATAATAATTGTCTACTATTGGTCATTATAATTAGCATAGAGATTTATACAATGATTCTAAAGGAATAAAGCAAATTTGAGTGTTAATAACTATTCTTTTTTTTAAACAAAAAGGGAAAAATTATCTGAATTAACTGCCAAAATAATACATTATCACATCTGGGTTAAATTTTTCTAAAACGCAACATACAATGTGTAAAGTCAGAAAAGTACAACATGATACTTATAGTTTTTGAAGTTATAAATACAACTTTAGGCAAAATGCTAAAAATCTGATAAAAAAGATGACTGTCCCTGAAAAACATCAAACTCATACAAAATATTGATAAGGTATCCTGAATAGGTGAACATCTTGAATGAAGAGGATATGTGAATGAACATTATTCAATTAGCTCACTTTTAAAAGAATAGACTCCTCAAAATCAGTATAATTTCTACAGCCTTGGAATCCAAGTATAAACTCATCAAAGGCAAGGATCATGAGTCCCTCAGCAGCAACCACAATACTATTCGCAGAATAGAAGCTCAATTAATGTCTGTTGGGTGTTGAACACTGAAATGAATGGAAACTTGGATGGCACAAGTTCCTCTATCTTTTTAAGGAGGTGGAAGAACTCACCTTCCACCACTTTACAAACTGCAAATAGTGGATTTTCTGCCTTAGGAATGGAGTGTTACTGTGCCCTGTAGTAGCAGAACAGGCAAAGCAGGATATTTATTACTATTATTATTATATTTCCCACCTCTGCCAAAGAGGATTTGAGACAGCTTACAGAGATACACAGTATGACAAAATAAAAATAAAAAACAAAGCAATGGGGCAAGACAAAAAAATAATTATAAACCTGGTGCCAAGATTTTTCTTTTCTAAAACATATTTCTAGATTCCAATTCCTTGAGAAAGAATCCTATTAAATAGTGGTAATGGGTCTACTTTTAACACTTTCAGAAATGAATAAAGCTGGTAAGGGGAACTGGCTGGTGGTCATAGTGAGCCATGAGAAAGTAATAATCAAGACAATTGCCTGCCCCAAGGTGAACAAGATTAGACCAAATGACTCACTAGATGCAAAGTTCTCCTACGTAATATATTATACTAGAGCTTTACAGCAATTTTCATTTCTTGGATAACCATAAAAGGCACTTTAGAAGCTCAATAGGTATATCTTAAATAATTGTTTAAGAATTATTCATTCACGGATTACTTGTGCTAAAATACAAAAATACAAATTTGCTTCCTCTTTTCCAGAATGATCCCAAATGAACTGAATGAACTCTCCATGTTGCCCAAATAATGGATTCCTGGGGATCCAAACTACTTTTAATTTCAAATTAATAATGCAAATCTTTAGAATAAGAAAATATCATGTTTTTTAAAGCCACAATTTTAAACTTTGGATTATTTTGGATTGCTTATATTAATTTGTTGCACTAGCATGGAACATTATCTATATATTCATCTCTAATACCAATGAAAGTTAAGACCAGAAATGGCATAAATCCAGCAGGATTCATATGGTAACCAAATCTGTCTTATTTTAGTCTGGCAATTTCAGATATTAAATGGGCTTTCATCTCTTCTTTGGGCCTCTCCAGGGAAGAAGTAGGAGAAAAGGAATAAGCAGCAAAATCATGAAGGATTCATAAACTGAAGAGCCAGCTTCTGAATAAGTTAAGGTGTCTTTCTCTCTTTCATTTACAATTTCTAAAATGTAGCTTGCCCCATAACCTTGCCAGCAAGTTCCAAACTGAAAGCTCACCTTTAAGATTTTTTTTAATCTGCATCTGCATCTATTCTGTTCTCTCAGATCACTGGGGTCCATTCTTGCGTTACCAACTTTACGTAAGAGTTCTGGCATTATAAGCAGGGGGAAAAAATAGTATCTAATAAACACGCACTACATGCCAGACAAATGGCTGAGAATTTTACATACTGCTCATTCAATCTTTACAGTAGATAATAAAGAATCTCTTATTATACCTTTGAAATCTGTCCAAGAAGCCTGGATTCAGAGCCTATGCTCTTTCTATTCCACTACAGTTCCTCCAAAGTAATGTGCCTTAGTGGAAGGGACACCATAGCACTTTCTGCACTAGGAGGCAGAACGCCTGGCTTAATTTATCACTTTCTGAAGAACTATGAACAAATCACTTAACCTCTCTGAGCATCAATCTTCTCACGGGTAAATTAGAGATAAGACTATCTATCTCCCAACCTTACAGAGAAGCAAACTAAATAATGCATGTGAAAACACATAATGTATATATTACCCAATGTTAAGATATAAGCAAAAATCACTATGCCATCTTTGGGAAATATCTCTCTTATTCTCACAATTTTAAAATGCTATCATTATCCAATTATTTAACAAAGGAATAAATGAAGCAGATTAGAATCAAGGGTGCAACAACCCAGGAAAACATTTTCTTTACCAACCCCACATAAAAATCTTATTATATCCCCCCAGAAAACAGCCTCAAAACCCTTGATTAGTTAATGAGGTCTTCAGCAGGCAAACAATAGTCGAAGCCTTTTTCAGATCAGTCGGTCCCATAAAATACGAAAAGGAAAATAGTTTAGAGTGAATATAATTTCTCTCATGCTACTGTACACGTGACAAGGTTAAGATTCGGTGACAATGACCTTCTGAAGTCACTACTTACTGATCCTTGAGATCGGTAAACTGTTTTTCAAGATTGGACATTTCATCTAAACATTCCATTCTTCTTCTTTCACAGTCTTCATCATCCATTTCTGTTAGTAAAAGACAAATATCAAAGATAAAATTAATTTTATGTTCCAAATATATCTGAATGTTAATTCAAATGGTAAAAAAAAAAGAAAAAAACTGAAATATGAAGTTAGATATGCAAGGTCTACATTCAGCCTTAAAATACATATTTACCAAAAATAATTTCCACTATAGATTTTAACCTAAAATACAGATGAATTAAAACTATAACAGTCTCTAGACCTTCTTATTTTTATTCATTTTTAAATCATTTTAAAGGGCCGACATTAAACTGTGACTATGAAGTAATTAACCCACTTTTGGTCTGTTTTCCACCAAATCACGAGAACTTAAGCACCAAGATGATTATGTCCTTTAAGGTTAATATTGCTCAAAAACACTTATGGAATTCTTCTTTCAGCACTGCTCACAAAGATGACTTGCCATTCAAATAAAAAAGAAGACTAATCTCATTATGTTTACCACAGAATATCTTGGTCTCCTACTCTCATATTCCCATTGATCCCTCTCCCCAAATTACTGTCAGTCAGTGCAAAAGAGGAAAATGAGGAGAAAACAAGCAAACTTTTCAAGGAAAGCAACTGTTAGTTACCAGCTCTGTCCTATATTTCATATCTTCTATTTTTACATCACGTACAGTTGACAATATCAGAATAACTAAAGCTCAAAATGATGTGCGTATTGATCATCATCAAATAAAGGTCAAACTATGAGAAAGAGTTATTTAAGTTCAGTTATCTTCGAATAGTGAGGAAGTATACAATTTTTTTTAAACTTTTCTGAAACAGATTAAAATTACTTCTGGTTCCTAATAGCTTATTCCTTGGCTATTTAAAACGTGGTCCCTCAAGATGACTCACTCCCCAATATCTCTGGATAGTTTTTCTGTAGCCTTAGGACCGGCCCAGTACCAAGGCTGGAGAAGAATAAAACTGTGGAAGTTTAACATGCAAGACATGTGGTCGAAAAGAAATGCTTTCACAACATGCAAAACTGCAAAATTTATTTAAATAATTTCTTTGCACTTAAAAAAACTGACTTGTAGTTCAAATTATTATTACATTTTCACAAATTAAGTTGTTTATTATTTTCTGGGGTAGAATAAAAACAGTGAAAAATCACAAGGGTGAACATAAAAATTAGAGAGGCAGAATTTTAGTAAACAGACATCATATTGCAAGATCCTAGCTCCCATAAAAATTAAAATTACAAAAAAAAACAAAGAACACTTGAAGATAAAATGTTTTACAGATCTAGGAAATGTATTCACATATAGTATAGACGTTCTTTCTCTGTATTCCTCACTTTTGAAATCTCACCTATTTTCATGACTAGGAAGACGACTTCCAAATCATGCTTCCCATACCAGGCAGGTCCCAACGCCACATTTCCACCTGTCAGTTGGGCACTCTGACTTACATATACCAACAGGACCTCAAAAACAACATGTCTGTAATACTCTATATTCCACCTTCACCTCAAATCTTTTACTTTACTATTTCTGTTCATGCTACCACCATTCTCCTTGTATCTGGGTTTTTCTTCTTACCTTGACTCTTAAACTTGCAGTCATCAATCCCACTTTCTGCTTTTTTTGAAATCTTTCACATCTATATCTTTTCCTTTTCTAGCTCAAATCCTTCTCCCAACCAAACTGGTTTTCTCACTTTTTTGAATAAGCCTGAAGATCTGGCCTTTGCACTTTTTCTTATATTCCTCCTTCTATAGCAGGGGTCCCCAACCCCCGGGCCATGGACTGGTACCACATTAGGAACCGGTCCCCACAGCAGGAGGTGAGCAGCAGGCGAGCAAGCAGAACTTCATCTGTATTTATAGCTGCTCCCCATCGCTCGCATTACCACCTCCTGTCAGATCAGCAGCGGCATTAGATTCTCATAGGACCACAAACCCTACTGTGAACTGCACATGCAAGGGATCTAGGTTGCCCACTCCTTATGAGAATCTGATGCCTGATGATCTGAGGTGGAGCTGAGGCAGTGATGCTAGCACTGGGGAGCGGGTGCAAATACAGATTATCATTAGCAGATAAGTTTGCACAGAGACCATAATAAATCAATTGCTTGCAGACTCATATCAAAACCCTGTCAGTGGGACTTCCCTGGTGGCACAGTGGTTAAGAACCCACCTGCCAATGCAGGGGACATGGGTTCTATCCCTGGTCCAGGAAGATCCCACATGCTGCAGAGCAACTAAGCCCATGTACCACAACTAATGAGCCTGCACACCACAGCTACTGAGCCCACACACCACAACTACTGAAGCCCGCATGCTCTAGGTCCCACATGCCACAACTACTGAGCCCAAGTGCTGCAACTATTGAAGCCCACACGCCTGGAGCCCGTGCTCAGCAACAAGAGAAGCCACTGCAATGAGAAGCCCGTGCACTGCAATAAAGAATAGACCCCACTTGCCGCAACTAGAGAAAGCCTGCGTGCAGCAACGAAGACCCAACACAGCCAAAAAATAAGTAAAATTTTAAATTATTTTTTAAAAAACCCTATCAGTGAGTGGCAAGTGACAATTAAGCTGCATCTGATGGCAGGCTTTATGGAGGCAAGTGAGTTGATGTACTTCAATTGTACAGCTGCATCTTGTGGCAGGCTTTAAGTCAGAATCCAACATTTATTTTAGTCCGCGCATGGCCCACCCATTATTTTATTTAACACTTCCGTCCGTGCCTCTTTCCCGCACTGTGCACTTGTCTCAGTCACAGTTTTGGTAAGCCCACAAGCTAACCCTAGCCAAAATGAGTAAAAAACAAATATCGCTGAAGAGCTTCTTTGAAAATGGGGAAAGACCCAATGATGAGACAGCAGAAGACTCTAAGACTACCAACAAAAAGAAAGCTGGGTTTAAAAGAAAATACCAAGAGTCCAACTTAAATTACAGGTTCGTTGCAACAGGTGATTTACATTTTCCAAGCCCACTTTGTATAACATGCGGCGACCGGCTATCCAACGGAGCCATGAAACCTTCCAAACTGCTTCACCACAAGGAGACCAAGCGCCCTGCATTAAAAGACAAGGCTTTGGAGCTTTTCAAAAGAAAATAACGTGAACACGAAGAACAGAAGCAATTACTGAAGGCCACCACTTCACCTAATGTGCCTGCACTGAGAGCATCATTCTTAGTGGCTAAACGTATTGCTAAAACTAAGAGGCCTTTTACTATTGGTGAAGAGTTGATCCTGCCTGCTGCTAAGGACGTTTGTCGTGAACTTTTAGGAGAGAATGCAGTTCAAAAGGTGGCACGTGTTCCTCTTCCGGCTAGCACGGTAACTAGATGAATTGATGAAACAGCACAGGATATCAAGGCACAATTGTTAGAGAAGATTAATGAGTCACCGTGGTACACAATCCAGGTTGATGAATCTACCAATATTAACAACAAGGCAACAATGCTTGTTTTGGTGCGATATATTTTTCAGGAGGATGTGCATGAGGATATGTTATGTGCACTTTTGTTGCCAACCAACACCACAGCTGCAGAACTATTCAAGTCTTTGAATGATAACAGGAAAACTGAATTGGTCATTTTGTGTCAGTATATGCATAGATGGAGCGGCTGCCATGACTGGACGGCTTTCTGGTTTCACTACTCAGGTCAAAGAGGTTGCTTTTGAATGTGAGTCTACGCACTGTGTCATCCATAGAGAAATGCTGGCTAGCCAAAAAATGTCACCTGAACTTAACATTTTTCAGGATATGATTAAAATTATCAACCACATTAAAGTACATGTCCTTAACTCATGTCTGTTCACACAGCTCTGTGAGGAGATGGACACACATCTTCTCTTATACACAGAAGTGAGATGGCTTTCTAAAGGTAGATCACTGGCCAGAGTTTTTGAGTTATGAGAGCCTCTCCAGAGATTTCTTTTAGGAAAATATTCACCAATGGCAGCACATTTCAGTGACACAGAATGTGTCACAAAACTTACTTGTGTGACACATTCAACCTGCTCAACGAACTCAACCTGTCACGTCAGGGGAGAACGACAACTGTGGTCAAGTCGGCAGATAAAGTGGCTGCATTCAGAGCCAAACTGGAATTATGGGGGCGACGAGTGAACAATGGGATTTCTGACATGTTTCAAACATTGGCAGAGATTTTGAAAGAGACTGAACCAGGGCCTTCTTTCTCCCAGCTGGTGCACGATCACCTATCTCAGCTTTCTAAAGAGTTGAACATTACTTCCCAACCACAAAAGGCCCCAAACCTGGGAAGAAATGGATCCGCGACCCATTTGTGAATAAGCCAGGTGAAATCGACTTTGTCAATGGTAGAAGAGGATCAACTGCTTGAGATCACAAATGACGGTGGCATTAAAAGTATGTTTGAGACAACTTCAAATCTCCATACGTTCTGGATTAAAGTCAAGGCGGAATATCCTGAAACTGTCACAAAAGCACTGAAAAGCCTGCTTCCATTTCCAACTCTTATCTTCATGAAGCAGGGTTTTCTGCAGTGATAGCAGCCAAAACGAGATCACGGAGTAGACTGGACATAAGCAACACACTACAGGTGTCACTGTCTCCCATCACTCCCAGATGGGACTATATAGTTGCAGGAAAACAAGCTCAGGGCTCCCACTGATTCTGCATTATGGTGAGTTGTATAATTATTTCATTATATATTACAATGTAATAATAATAGAAATAAAGTGCACAATAAATGTAATGGGCTTGAATCATCCCTAAACCATCCCCCCCTCCCCAGTCCGTGGAAAAATTATCTTCCACGGGGCTTCCCTGGTGGCGCAGTGGTTGCGAGTCCGCCTGCCGATGCGGGGGACGCGGGTTTGTGCCCCGGTCCGGGAGGATCCCGCATGCCGCGGAGCGGCTGGGCCCGTGGGCCGTGGCCGCTGGGCCTGCGCGTCCGGAGCCTGTGCTCCGCGGCAGGAGAGGCCGCAGCGGTGAGAGGCCCGCGTGCCACAAAAAAAAAAAAAAAACTAAACCCAAGATGGATTGGAAACAAGCAAACCACAACGCTATAAAAGACCAGAAGAGGATATAGGAAAAAAAAAAAAAAAAATTATCTTCCACGAAACCAGTCCCTGGTTCCAAAAAGGTTGGGGACCACTGTTCTACAGAAACACCTGAACATTACCAACTCCAATCCAAGTTCCACCCATTCTTCGAGGTAATTTAGGTAACCTCACCTTCTTCATCTAGCCTTTGCTGACCACCCTATACTGAAAAGATTTCCTCTGCCTCAATTCCTACAGTATTGTTTATAGCTAAGCATTTGTTTGGCAATTTAATCAAGTGGTGATCTATGACAGCTCTTTAATTGCAGTCAGATTATAACTATTTATAGCTCACAATGAGTAGAACCCAGTACTGCACTGCAGGAAGTCACTCAGAAATACTTATTTTGGGGTGGTTGATTTAATGACTGAAATTACATACTTCCATGGAGGTTTCCTTTGAAAGGGAAACCTGAAAAGAGGGTGTCAGGGTGCTGACAGACTGTCAGCAACCTGTCACCAATCCTTGCTTCACATGGCCAAAATCAGGACAAGACAAAGAAATAAGTCTCATCTTCATCATATGGAGAGAAGGAAAAGAATCCAGGTAATCACAAATTCCATTTTTTTTAAAATAACCATTACAAAAAGTTTGCAAAAATTCACTTGTGGTGTTAACCTGCCCTCCTCTACCCCACCCCACCTCCCCTCCGAAAAAACAAAAAACAAAACTAAAATAGCCCAAAGTTAGAAAAGATTGCAGGAAAGAAAAGATTTGGAGAATTTCAAAGTTGCCAAAAATCAGCCAATTTATAAGCATATGAAGATCCCCAATCACCACTGATGTCAGGCTCTTCTTAGTCTTGACAAGTGCAGAGAGATGCTCTAAACGGTCCAGCTCCCACGTCAGCCCCTCGAAAGAGCACTAATATCAAGTGCTGACACGCTGACTTGGAAGCTGAGATTAAAAAATTCTAAGCCAGCCAAGAGCCAATACAAATCTACCCTCGGCTCCGACAACCCACCCACGTTGACAAGTAAGGGTTGCAAAGGTGCAAAATAAGAAGTCGGTGGTCTGAGGAGAGGAGGCATTTGCAGGGTCTCCCAGACAAGATGCAGCACATTCCTCCCTCCGGATAGCCCCGGGCACTACCCAGAGGTCCCAAGGGCGGGGCGGACCGCGAGCAGGACCGCGCAGCGTACGGGAGCTGGGCGAGTCCAGGCCCGGGCCCTGCCCCGCCCCGCCAACCGGGACCCGCCAGGAGCAGGGCAGCACCCAGCGAACAGTCCGGGTGCCACGGAGAGCTGGGAGCCAGTCTCCGCCCCTTCCCTCTCTCCCCTCCCCGTTCTCCCAGCAGGACGCAGCTGCCCGGCGTGCGGAGAGCGGCCTGTCGCTAGCCTGGCGCAAGGACTCGGGGTCCCAGCCCGCTGGGTCGCGTACCTGAGCTATCTCCATCCTCGGAGACCGACGAGCTCTCGGTGTCCTCGTCCTCGGAGCTGCTCCCCTCGTTTTCGGCGTAGTCCACCTCCATCTCATCGTGATGGTTCGTCTCCTTCTTATCCCCTCGGGAATGGACTGGCATTTTCCAGCCGCGCCGTCGCTTCCCACTCGCGGCGCCCAGCCCGGCCACCGCCGCTTCAGAGAAGGGCGCGCCGAACGCCCCGACCCACCCAGCGGCCGAGCTTTTTCTGAACCCCCTCGGCTCCTCCCCGCCCCCGCCGGAGCCTCACAACCTAACCCACAGGCTTTGCGCTGGGAGCTCTGCCATTGGTGGAGGCAGTCCTCCGAGCCTGGAGCTTGTCCTGCTCGGGTCCGGTTGGTTGCCGGTAATTACGGCGCGGCCTCGCGGTATGTGTCGGGAGTTGTAGTCCTTACTGCTCAGACCTGCAGGGGCCGCCAGCTTCCAAGCTTCAACAGTCCCGATCACTTCTCCCCTCTGGACTTCAAGTCCCACAAGGCACGAAAGCTGCCAGAGTCGATCACAGTTTATAAACTAAACAGAAACAGATTGTGAGAATTTGGTCTGTATTTATTCTTTTCCCGCCAAGTGATTGAGCTCCCAGGCCATCCAAGATGTTTCTGTCAGACGAAAAGGTCTTTTGCCTGAGGTTTTTTCCTCCTCTTTGAGGATACGGGAACTGGAGAAATGTCTCTTTACCTAAGCACTTTTATTTACTACTAATAAACTATTATTTAATTAATTTCTGCAGGCAACTTGCACTTTCTATGTTGCACAAAGGTCTTTAAATTGTTCTTGAAACTTTTGCAATCCATAATATGGAAGGAAAAGAAGTTTTATCTTGGCACTTTTCTCTAGTATGTTTTGCATTATTTTTTACCATTTGCAGCCTGAAAATGCTACCTATCTTAACTTCAGTTTTCAAAGAAATATACATATTTGACTTAATGAAATGTTATATTTTATCAATGGTAGGGATGATAGACAAGGAAAACTCATTAAATATAATCATAATAACATACTAATTGACCACTTTTGCTCTATATCAGGTACCCTGGTAAGTTCTTTAAATGAGTTATATTGAGTTACATTCTCAATTTAATAGCCCTGAGGTAGTTGCTATTATTATACCCATTTTACAGATGAGGAAACTTTACTTTCAAACAAACCTAAAAACGGTATTTTATCAATTATAAAGACAGGGCTTCTTCCTGAAGTGGCAATTTGCTATTGACAGAGATTTCATAGAATATTGTGGGTTGTACAGCATTTCTCAAACACAAGGCCCAAAGACATTTGACAGAGAATGATAAGAGTATCCAAGCATAAAGGCATTAAAGTTAGATTTGGAATTTAATGACAGAAAACATTTCAAGGGCTATCCATCTCTTGGCTTAGGTCCAAATTATGGGGCTTTTATTATCTAGTGTCAGCCTACTTGTCAGCCTACTCTTCTTACTGTAGTCTCCAAAACTGAACTCCTCAATTGATAAACACACAAATTGTTTCCCATTTCAATGTTTTTGCATATCCTATTCTCTCTGCAACCCTCTTCCACTCCTTTTTTACAAAGCCACTTTCCTGACAACGTTCATCACCAGCAGCACCTCCACCATTCAGTACACACTGCTGTTCCTTCAGGCTGCTACTATACTTTGTACTTTGCAACTTTGTACTTGTTTCTGTCAGACTGTATTGTGAATTGTTTAGCAGATGCATCTCACCTATTGGATTGTGAATTCCTTGAGAACAGGGACTGTCTTGTCTGGGATGCAATTTCGGAGGCAAGCATGTGAGTACATGCATGTACATTATGTGAGTGGTGTGGACTAAAGCAGGGCAGCTGCTTTTAGCTCCAGCCAATCGTTGCTACATCAGAATTCTGGCCTAGATGTCAGATCTTCCAGTTTTCAAGAGAAACTGGAAATTTAGATCTCTATGTGAAATAACCAGATTTGTAAACATTATCTCAAGTGCATTTTTTTTGGCTGTTGTTTTGGTTTGGTTTGGTTTATTAAACTCCAGACCAAACAAAAACAGCTGTGGATAAAATCCCTGGCCTCTGTTAATCTCTGTTTTATCAGCAGCTAGCAGAGTATGTGCTAAATAGTAACAATCGCTTAGATTTCTGGTCACTATGTGCCAAGCACTGTTACATGCTTTAAGTACATTAATTCATTTAATCCTTATAACAACTCTATGAAGTAGATATAAAATTATGCCTTCTATTTTGTAGATGTGGAAACTGAAGCTCAGAGCAGTTAGGTTACTTGGCCAAGGCCACACAGCTAATAAATAGCAGATTTAAGATTTGAATTTGAGTAGTCTGACATCAGAGCCTGTACTCAACTACCAGTATACAGTGCCCCTGTAACAGGTGCTTTCTATGTTTCTGCTGTTTAAAGGAAAACAGAAGGAAGTTGGAGAGGAGGCATAGATTCTAGCCCTGGTTCTGCTAGTAATCAGACAATTCAATTTGGCAAATCACACGATCTCTGGTCACTTGTAAAATGAGAAGTTTGTATTAACGTTATCTTTAAGTTCTCTTCTGGGGCTTCTCTGGTGGCGCAGTGGTTAAGAATCCGCCTGCCAATTCAGGGGACACAGGTTCTAGCCCTGGTCTGGGAAGATCCCACATGCCTTGGAGCAACTAAGCCTGTGCGCCACAAATACTGAGCCCACACGCCACAACTACTGAAGCCCACCTGCTCTAGGGCCTGCATGCTGCAACTACTGAGACTGCAAGCCACAACTACTGAAGCCCGCATGCCTAGAGCCCGTGCTCCACAGCAAGGGAAGCCACCGCAATGAGAAGCCCGCGTACCGCAACAAAGAGTAACCCCCACTCGCCTCAACTAAAGAAAGCCCACATGCAGCAACGAAGACCCAATGCAGCCATAAATATATAAATAAATAAATAAATAAAATAATAAGTTATCTTCCAGCTCTAAAATTCCTGTCATCATTATATTTATGTTTAAGGCAGACAAAATAATGGGAGATTATACAATTAGAGTTGCATGATGGTGTTTTGCTTAAAAGGGTAATTTCTCTCTCCTCTCCCCAAATAGATTTTAGAAAAGATGCCTAGGGAGTGTAAGAGGAACCATAAGGGGAAAAAAATGAATAAGGCTGGAAAAGAATATTGTCAATTTAGAAAGTACAAATTAATGTGAAGAAAACCATGAACACAGAATGAAGTTTCCTCAATCGAGTCATATTAATAGATAGGAATGATGCCTTCCATTTATGTAGCACTTTATATTTCATGTAGGGCTTACACAATCATTAGATACATTTTAAATCTCACTTTTCATTAATACATTCATACACACTCATTTATTGAAAGCCTTCTAAAACTCATGGTCGGTCATCAGCAAAATCTACTATATCATCACCTCTTCTCTGAAATGTTCCCTTAACTTTCTTGTTCTAAAGGAAACATTGCTCTGCCCTAGGACTCTGCTTCCTTTGCACCCCTACTCCCACTGAGCCTTGTCATGGGGTAGGTATGTTCCATGTCCCCCTTGTTCCTTCTAGATGATCATTCCCCCCAAAAAATACCCCAGCTTGTCATCAGCATATACCACATAGTATCTCTACTTGTGGCTGTCATGTACATACTGCCCAGACTCATTCCCCCTCATTTTTTGAAGATTTTAGCTCTTGGTTCATTCTCTCCCATGGTATGCCTATCATAATCCTTGGTCATTTTATTATTCATGTAAATAATCCTATACCACTCCATTTCCTACTCAGTTTGCTCTGGTACAGAGTAGACATAAAATAATTCTGGCTTTTTCTTTCTAGTTTTCCTGCCATACCTTCTTTGGGGTAACTTTTTTTCAATCTGTCTTATTAAATATTTTAATATTACATGATAATTTAAACACATAGAAAGGTATTCAGAATATTATATATATATAACACAGTATTGCTCTCTAAGCTTTGTCAAATCTTAGAATTTTACCACATTTGCTCCAGACCCCTCTTCAGTCCCAGTTTTCTCCTTCCCTCTCCAGAGTAACCATTATTTTGACTTCAGTGTTTTTGATTGCCGTGCATGTGTACATACCATTTTTGTATATTATGTATCCATAAATAATAGAAAGGATTGTCTGACATGTTTTAAAGTAGTCTCATACACTACATATCATGCTACAACTTCCTTTTTCCTCAACAATTTTTTAATATGTATTTATTTATTTATTTGGCTGCACTGGGTCTTAGTTGCAGCATGCAGGATCTTTAGTTGCGGCATGCAGTATCTAGTTCCCTGACCAGGGGTCGAATCCGGGCCCCCTGCGTTGGGAGCGTGGAGTCTTAACTACTGGACCACCAGTCCCTCAGCAATGTTTTTGAGATGTATCTATTATGATACAGGTACCTCTAAATCCAGTTATTTTACCCAACTCTAAGGTAGTCCCTTGAGTACATATATTCCATTGAATGAATATTAAAAACTTTACTCACTTACCTGTTAATGGACAGTTAGGTTGCTTCCAATTTTTTCATTATTAAAAACAGTTGCCTCAATGAATATTCTTGTATTTATCTTTTGGGGCATGTGTGTGAGGATTTCTCTAGGTCAGTGGTTTCCAAAGTGGGGCATGTGAATCCAGGGAGTATATCCTAGGGGAGAGGAAGAAAAGATTAAAATTTCTGTGTATATAATTTTCAATTTCATCTTTGTCTGGAATAAAGTAGATGTAGGAAGGAAGCTATATGCCCATTTTTTACTCTGATTTACACTCATTATATTCCTTGTGCTTACTTGTTTTTAGTCAGCAGATCCTGCCCCTAAAGGGAAGCAAACTTAATTTCAACCACTACCACGTGGTGGAGCTGAGACATCAGCTATACAGCCACAAACCTTGCTGCTGATTGACCCAGGCCAGATGCTGATAACTTGAAAAACAAACGCAGGAGACCAGAGGCAGCGACTAATGGCTAATATTCAAATCAGCGTAAACATTTTAATCATTCAAACTAAATCTAGGTCTTTAGAGATCTACATTGACAAGTAAATGAGACCAATTTATTATCAATGATATGAGACCATGATTTCAATTGCTTAAGAACGAAACCATCTAAAGGTGCTTGAAATAGCCTGTTGACTGGTACAGGGCCCAACCTTGTATTAATTGTCTCTTTGCAGAAATTAGTTCTTGGATTAGTTCAACTATAAATTTGATAACA